AATTAATGGCCATACCTTCCTTCTGGGTGCTCTGGGGAATGTAATTCCTTATTTCTTCTGAGTATAGTTCTATTGAGTTAGGGTGCTCATAATGTTATAGCGAACAAAAGAGTGTCCTACGAAGCATTTAGCTCGTCAGAGTTCCATTAAAAACTTAGTGAGGTGATGCTGAATTAATTATAAACCCAGTAAAAACCCAGGAAGCTGGAAGCTGTTTGAGAAACTTCATTCATGACACGAATTGGTCCATGAGGTTAGGATGCCTGATTGGTGCTGTCTAAACTTTTTCTTGTATTTATCGCTCAGGACTTTTTTAATCCTTTTCAGAGGAGCCTTTCTGAAGCATTTTTCTCCTTTCACGTGGGCCTTAAAGGAAACTATGCTTCTCTGTATCTTCACCATCTAATTCCTATTAGCTTTATACAAAAGATGAAAATGCCACTGCTTGCCTTTTAAACAAAAAGCAGAGAAAAAGAATATGCTATCGCCTTTTCCACAAAGAAATGTAACTCATATCTTATAAAGGGCATGATTTCAGTCTTTCATCTGCAACTTTTGGAGAAAATGCGTTCACATTATCGTATAATGAATTAACATTCTCAAATTGATTCTGGGTCCTGTATGCCTATCACAACATCACAGTTGTCACTTCTTTCTTCTCTCTCTCCCTCTCTCCCTCTCTCCCTCTAAAAGGCAGTACATGCTTTGATGATAAGCACGTATGACACGTATTCGCTTCGATTCTTTTTATCATTACTATACTAGTTTAATCCTTCTTTAAAAGTCGCTTATAAGTGATGACATACCTGATGTGCAGGAAAGAGCACCTTCATTTGGCTTGGACCAGTACCAAGGATAATTCTTACAGATCCAGTTCTAATAAAAGAGATAATGAACAAGGTCTATGACTACCCTAAACCTCATTCAAATCCACTGATCAGGTTACTAGCTACGGGTCTTGCAGTCTATGAGGGTGAGAAGTGGGCTAAGCACAGAAGGATTATCAATCCTGCATTCAATATAGAAAAACTGAAGGTTGCTTTACTTTTCCTTAAGTGGCTCTTTTCTTTACTCTCTTAATAAGCTCTTTCCACACCATTTCTTTGCCGAATAAGGAACTAAGCATCGTGCTCTTGCTCTGGATGTTCACTTAGTAAGAGGCTGAAAACTTAATCTTCCCATCATATTATTCTGCCACAGATCATGTTGGCTACATTCTATGAGAGCTTCAGCTATATGGTTGACAAGTGGGAGAAAACGCTGTCCTCAGATGGCTCATGTGAAATGGACGTATGGCCTTTCCTTCAAAATGCGACTCGTGATGTTATTTCTCGAACAGCTTTTGGAAGTAGCTATGAAGAAGGAAAAAGAATATTTGAACTTCTAAAAGAGCAAGCTGAACTTGCAATGAACGCTCTCTTGAAAGTCTATATTCCTGGATACAGGTAAAAATACTCAGTAAATCTTATATACATTACCATTCTGACTAAAATAGTATCACGCTAATGAAATTAGTTTTATTCAGCTGATATAAGCATACGCGTATCAGAAAATGTGTACAACGGAGATTCCAAAGCATTTTGCTTTTGAACAATTCCCAATTTATCAAATAAGATAATTAGAACACGAATTATCTTAGTTACAAGTTGTATCGTTCAGACTAGTCGTTCCTTCACGTCAGCATAATTACCAGGAGTAGTTTTCTGTAGGTTTCTGCCAACTGGTGCTAATAGGACGATGAACAAAAATCACAGAGATGTACGAACTTCACTTAAGGATATAATCAACAAAAGAGTGGAAGCAATGAAGGCAGGCGAAGCCCCAAAGGATGATTTATTAGGCATACTTTTGGAGGCAAACCACAAGGAAATTCAAGAACACGGAAACAAGGATGATGGTATGACTAGTGATGATGTAATCGAGGAATGCAAGCTTTTCTACTTTGCAGGGCAAGAGACCACCTCTGTTCTGCTCGTTTGGACTATGGTATTGCTCAGTATGTACCCTGATTGGCAAAAGAGAGCAAGGGAGGAAGTCTTCCAAGTATTTGGGAACCAAAAACCAGAATTTGATGGCTTAAATCACCTTAAGATTGTAAGCACCTTTATGGCTCTCTTTATAATAAACCGTAACTGAAACAAGTATTTGCTAGGAGATTTTCTAGTAAAATTATGATATGAAGGATTCTTTTTCAAAGTCAATAACATGATGTGAAATTGTAAACAATATTTGCATGCTATAATCTTCTTGCCATTATTGTAATTCTTTTTGCTACAGGTGACCATGATTTTGTATGAAGTTCTGAGGCTATACCCACCAATACTTTTGCTTGCTAGAACTGCTGTTAGGGATATGAAACTTGGACACCTGACAATACCCGGGGGAGTGCAAGTTTCTATACCGGTAGGTTTGATTCACCGTGACTGCGAATTGTGGGGTGATGATGCAGAGGAATTCAAACCAGAGAGATTTTCGGAAGGAGTTCTAAAGGCAACAAAAGGGCGAGCTTCGTTCTTTCCGTTTGGATGGGGTCCAAGAATATGCATTGGGCAAAACTTTGCCATGCTGGAAGTAAAGATGGCTTTGTCAATGATTTTACAACGTTTCTGGTTTGAGCTTTCCCCAGCATATGTTCATGCTCCGACGTTTGTGCTTACTCTGAAGCCTCAGTATGGTGCTCATATCATATTACATAAGCTGTGAGCGTTTGGCTGCTGGCAAAAGCAAAAGCATAAATTGATAGCTCTTACTTGGGCAAGACCTTGTTTGTGTTCTGTTACTGTTACCTTTTTCACAATTGAATTGGTTTGCATCTCTTATTGAGGCAATTTCGTTCTTAAAATAATGGAGAAGACGTCAAAAATGGCTGGCTAGTTTCACATTTTGTATGACTGATTTAATCTGACTTTGTTGATTTGAACTAATTCTTTGAGATGCAAGCCTTTTTTAGGGAAGATTGTTGGTATTTGGAGATTTTAGGAAAAAGATGCATGTAAGGCTTTTTGTCAGTTTATAGATATCCGGAAACTAAGATACAGAGAAAATTATAATGAGATCTCAATAAAAAAACATAACTATCAAAACGCCCAAATGAAAAATTAAAAGTTGTCATTTTTTATTTTAAAACTTATTATTATTGATTGTTTAGTTGTTATTGGAACTTTTCAGTAATTATATTCTTTCATTAAGACTTTATTGTAGTTCTCCCTTATAAGGCTTTTTTTGTTTTTGTTTTTTAAATGCTAATATTGATCATAGCGTGTATATCTTTTCAAAATTAAAAAGAAAAAGAAAAAGAGGAAACGGTATTTTTTTTTAAATTTAATTTAAACGGATTGATTCTAACAATCTGAGACTAAAGTAAGCGTAAGCCCATGACTTCCTACTATAGGAGAATTTTCATGTAATTCGGTTAAAAGGTAATCAATAAAAAAAAATCCATAGTGAGAAGTGGCAAGTGGCAATTGACTTGGCATTTTTTTTTTTGTGGGTATAGAGTTGGCTTGGTATCTTGCTTATTAACTATTCATGCAAGATCATAGAGTATATTATAAATGTTATATTCTTTTAATATATTAATCATTCATTAGTCCTATTTGAATCAAGATTAGCATTATTCATTATTGTTATTAAAAAAAGCATTATTCATGATTTATGTTGGAGTTATTTAAAACTAGATCCATCGTTGAATTGGTCAAGTCATTGGCCCATGATCATGAATAATTCTTCACTTTAATTTTTTATTTTTAGTTGAATATTTCAAGAATATATTACTTGTTTTCTTTACCTTTTTTATTTTTATTTCATTATATTGTTTTTTTTAAAAAAAATTTATGTATGAACAACTGATATAAGATTTAAAATATATTAATTTAATCATAACTCGTTTGAGCATTAAATTATATTTATAAATCAATGTATTGAACAGTTTAATAATTAGTTCGATTTGTAACGCCTTAAATATATACAAGTAATATTAGGAAAATCAAATCAACTATAAAACTGGTCAAGATATGAGTTTACCGTTCGATGATATAATGATCTTACATAAATAATAAATAAGGCTAATCTCAGTTTTTATTTGAATACAAAAATATGACTAGTTAATAATTAACATATTAAAAGAAAAGCCAAACAAAAGGTTTAAAATAAAGACAATCATCAATTTTACAGGTTTTAACTGAAATTGGTTCGTCCTGTAAAATTCGAAGAATGACAAGTGAAAATAAAAAAAAACAATTATAAATCGTGTAGTAAATTTTGAAAAAAACATGTAAAAATTGAATGGATTCGCAGAATAGTACTTATCATAGAAATGCCACGCAAATCCTATAAATAATCATACCTGAAATTAGACAAAATTGTCGGATTCGTTTGTTATGAAGTGCCTAAGCTTGGAACTACTTGTGATTTTCCCATAATCTTTCCCAACTCACGATATTCCTTGTACTACTACTCCAACACGCCAATTAGAAAACTTTTCCTCTTATGTTTTCATGTTTTGTGTTGATGAAAGTCAATTTGTTTTTTTCTAACCAATATCGTCATCATCATCTCGTCTTCCAAGTTCCAGTACAGGTCCATCAAGAGTTTTCTGTATTAAATACCATCGCAAACTTCAAAAGTCTATATCCACGTTTAAACAAACTACATATTGACAGAGTAGAAAAGAAAATTTAAAGGGCAGAAAGCTTGGAGTGCAAGTGAATTTTTCCTTCCCCTCCAAGAAAGAGGATTGAAAAAGAAAAAAGAAGCAATGTTAGTCTTCGCTACTAGTGTAAATAGACTTGTTTTTAAACAATTATGCATGGTGTAGTTGGCGAAACCAAAGTAACAAGTGTCCATAAAAGTGTAACAGAGAGCAGAAAATCGAGTTGTGGAGTGAGAAAATCAAGTTCAGCGATCAATACAATTTTTTGTTTCTTCTTCAAGTGTCTCGTCCTTTTTCCTGCTCATAATCCTAATCAGATACTTTGTTCACTCTTCAGTTTCTTCCTATCACTTGTTCACTGATAGGAATGGAAGCATCAAGGGCCAAATTCGCGATCTGCGGTTTGCTAGCGATTCTAGTTCTGGTATGGGCATGGAAGGTGGTGAACTGGCTATGGCTGAGGCCGAAGAATCTGGAGAGGCTTCTCAGGCAACAAGGCCTTAAAGGAACTCAGTATAAGCTTCTCACTGGGGATTCAACCCAAATGTTTAACATGCGTGTGCAAGCCAAATCCAAACCCATGAATCTTTCTGACGATATCATTCCTCGTGCTTCGCCTTTTCTCAATCATATTGTCAACAAATATGGTATGCTTTTTATAGATTACGCTTCTTCCACTCCTCTAAAGTCTCAGTTATATTTTGGTCATGAATTTTGTTCGAAACAGTAACGTGTTTTGGAATTCCTGGGTTTTGATACTCCTTAAGTATGAGATGGGTATGGAATGGTTTTGCAGCAGAAAAGCATTTGATTCATTATCTTACTAGTCAAACCTTTCTTTTGAAGTCTCTTAAGTGATGATGCACTTGATATGCAGGAAAGAACAGTTTTTTGTGGATTGGAACAATACCAAGGATAGTTATTACAGATCCAGTGTTAATCAAAGATTTGATGAACAAGGTCTACGACTTCACCAAACCTAATTTGAATCCACTCATGAAGTTACTGCTCACTGGCCTTGCACACTATGATGGTGAGAAGTGGGCGAAGCACAGAAAGATCATCAATCCTGCATTCAATGCAGAAAAATTGAAGGTCACTCTACTTTCCCCTTTAAAGCTTTTGTAATATCAACTTGGAGGATCTATTCTTTTCATTCTTTTAATAAGAAGCTAATAAACCGTGTCTTTGCTGTATAAGCATTGAAGCTTCATGCTCCTGCTGTGGATTTTCATTTGGTTAGTGAGAGGCTGGAATTTAATGTTCCTATTGTATTACTTTGCCACAGATCATGTTGCCTGCATTTTATGAAAGCTTCAATGATATGGTTTACAAGTGGGAGAAAATGTTGTCCTCAGATGGCTCATGTGAAGTAGACGTATGGCCTTTCCTTCAAAATGTGACTTGCGATGTTATATCTCGGACAGCTTTTGGAAGTAGCTATGAAGAAGGAAGAAGAATATTTGAAATTCTAAAAGAGCAGGCTGAACTTGCTACAAAACTTTTCTTCAAAGTTCACATTCCTGGATACAGGTAAGGCAACACAGTAGATATGATATACCTTACATTCTGACTGAAATAGGATCTGGCTAATGAAATTAATTTCATTCAACTAATGCAAGTTTATCTATATATCATATAGGAAACAACAAATTAACTCACGACAAATACAATTGAGATTAAAAACAGAAACCTCTGTGCTTTAAAAAAAAAATCCCCAATTCATCAAATAATATAACTGGAACATGTATCTCAGTTACAGATTATACTCATTAAGTTCTAGCAATTAGTTTGAAAGCTAGGCAGAAATACCTGTTCATAGAACAATCAATCAGACAAGTTGTTCCTTCTTGTTACCCTACTCACCACCATTGGTTGTTTATTTGTAGGTTTCTACCTACTGGCGAGATTAGGAGGATGAATAAAAATGACAGAGATATACAAGCTTCACTTAAGGTGATAATCAACAAGAGAGAGAAAGCAGTGGAGGAAGGGGAAGCCCCCGAGGGCGATTTATTAGGCTTGCTTCTGGAATCAAATCACAAGGAAATTGAAGAACATGGAAATAACAGGGATAATGGTATGACTATTCAAGATGTAACTGAGGAATGCAAGCTTTTCTATTTTGCAGGGCAAGAGACTACATCTGTTCTGCTTGTTTGGACTATGGTGTTGCTCAGTAGATATCCTGATTGGCAAAAACGTGCGAGGGATGAAGTCTTGCAAGTGTTTGGCGACCAAAAACCAGGCTTTGATGGACTAAATCACCTTAAGATTGTAAGTGTCTGTATAGTTCCATTTATAATAAATAGTAAGGGAAGCATGGATTTGCTATGGGATTTTCTAATAAAATTATGACATGAAGGGTTCTTTTTCAGAATAAATAACATGATGTCAATTTGTTGTGCCAAAAAATGATGTCGAATTGTAGCCAATTTTTGCATGCTGTAGTTTTATTGCAGAACCTGACAGTAAAATTTCGAACTCGAGTTTTGTATTTATCAATCTTCTTTTGGGCTACAGGTGACCATGATTTTATACGAGGTTTTGAGGCTATACCCCCCAGTAATGTTGCTTGCTAGAAGTGTTCCTAGGGATATGAAACTTGGACACCTGACGTTACCTGCAGGAGTACGCCTTTATATACCAACAGGTTTGGTTCACCGTGATGGTGAATTGTGGGGTGATGATGCAAAGGAATTCAAACCGGAGAGGTTTTCAGAAGGAATTCTAAAGGCAACAAAAGGGCAAGTTTCGTTCATTCCATTTGGATGGGGTCCAAGAATATGCATTGGGCAAAACTTTTCCATGTTGGAAGCAAAGCTGGCTATCTCTATGATTCTACAACGTTTCTGGTTTGAGCTTTCCCCAACTTATGCTCATGCTCCAATGGATGTGGGTTACTCTTAAGCCCCAATATGGTGCTCAAATTATTTTACACAAGCTTTGAATATTTTACTTCTGGAAAGGAAAAAAGGAAAAAAACACAGGCTCGCGCACAGAGGTATGTTTGTATGTAGTATGTAAGCATATATAGTGTCTACTTAGGCAACGCCTCGTTTGAATAGTACTATGTGTTTACAGTTACACAGCTGAATTGTATTGTGGAGTTATTTGAGATGCTAGTCAGCCTTCTTTAGGGGAAGGCAGTAAGTTGTGATTATTGTGGGAGGTGAGACATGAAAAACATGACACTGTGTATTGGGAATGAGACTCTGGCAGTGGATAGAAACTGCTGGAGTACTAAAGTTTTCCTCCTTCACAAGGAAATCAAGTACTGGTTGCCAAGCAAAAGATATTTTAATGCAGTTTATACCTATATATAATTGTACACTCATCTTATTTACATGTGTCCATTGCTGTGTCAATCTAGTTTCTCAGCTTCTTTTGAAAAATGAGCATTGTATGTGTGCCCCCTTATCCATTCTGCTCTGCCTACTTTTAAACAGCTTGACTCCTTCTCTATCTTCATTTTTCTGCTCAATCAGTTAGTTCATCATCCATCCAAGAAGCCTTGTTTCAGGACTCAAAGTTCACATGTTAATACCGTTAGGTCCACAACAGATGTACCAAATCCTGAATGAAATTAGATTACATTTACATCATATTCTGCATAAATTTAGTCTAAGTTTTGCAAACTGGAATATTAAAACAGCACTGTGGCTTGAACTTTGAACAGCGCTTCCTTTGTGGAGGGTTGGGAGAACAAGCATTTAGGATTGAAAGTAATATTTTGGAATGAAAATGAAATATTTACATCCAAGAGTAATTCTAAATCCTCTCCTTGTCACATAATTCAATCCAAATTTTAAGAAATGAGTAGTAAAAACAAAAGTGCGAATGTACGTTGATGTTAATATGATGAACTTATTTAGCTCTTCAGTTAGCACATTTTATCAATCGTTAGTTTTGGGACAGATATTCTCATGCAAATATATAACTCCTAATTTATTGAATCATGTTAAAGGGCTCAACCATATTACCTGCAACCGCACTACATTGCAAAAACCATCTTTGCTTCATATTTGAGACTTTCCAGAATCCCGGATGTTCATGGATCCATCAACATCAAATGTGATATTACAACGTTTCTGGTTTGAGCTTTCCCCAACATATATGTTCATACTCCAATGTCTGTGATTATTCTTAGATCCTATTTGGTACAAAGTATTGAAAATGAGATATAAGAACTAGGATTGTAATTAAAAAAAATCATTAAAAAAGTCTTTAGAATCAGTAATTGCTTTTTACTTTTCTGGTCTTATTTTTAAATCACTTCCAACATGATTCATACAGACTAAGAAAAACCTGAAATTTTATTAACTCTCATTTAAAATTCAACATTTTTTTAACTTTATCTCTATTTAATATACATTATACCTCATATAAATAAAGTTAACATAATAATAAATGAAGGGTAAAATTGTACATCCATACAAAAAATTTCTTTCAGTATCCTATAAATAAGATTAAAAAACATCTCTCTCTTTCCTATAAATAGGACAAGAGGAGTACATCCACACAGTATGATGCTCAAATCATATTACATAAGCTGTGAGTATTTAGCTGCTGGAAAAAGCATAAATGAACATACAAATAAATACATGTAACGTGTGGATAGTTTTGTACTTGGATAATACCCTGTTTGTTTTCTGCTACTGTAAGTCTTCACGGTTTATTTGACTTGATATAACAATGTCGAAGGTTTGAATGTCGTGTTATGTTAGCCTTCTTCGGGGAAGGAGCAGAGCATTGTGAGGCTGTTGAACGAAGCTGCGGTAGACTTTTGTCCGACCTAGACAGCAGTCTAGGGAGTAGGATGTCGGAATTCTAGCTTGTTCAATTCAATTATAATGTTTATAACAAATCTATTAACTTGACAGAATTTTTTAATTTTATTTTGATTAAAAAATTTTCCTATAAAGTTAAAAATTAAATATTAAAGGGATTGATTCTAACAATCTGAGATTAAAGTGAGCGCAAACCCATGACTTGAGAATTTTCATGTAATTCGGTTAAAAGGTAATCAATAAAAAAAAAATCCACAGTGAGAAGTGGCAACTGACAATTGACTTAGTATTGTTTTTTTTTTTTTTTTTGGGTATAGAGTTGGCTTAGTATCTTGCTTATTAACTATTCATGCAAGATCATAGAGTATATTATAAATGTTATATTCTTTTAATATATTGATCATTCACGGGTCCTATTTGAATCAAAATTAGCATTATTCATTATTGTTATATTTAAAAAAAAGCATTATTCATGATTTATGTTGGAGTTATTAAAAACTGGATCAATCGTTGAATTGGTCAACTCATTGGCCCATAAATAATTCTTCACTTTAATTTTTTATTTTATTATTTTTATGAATATTTCAAGAATATATTACCTTTTTATTATGTTTTCTTTACCTTTTTATTTGTACTTTTATTATGTTTTTTTTATAAAAAAATTTTGTATAAACAACTACTATAAGATTTAAAATATATTAATTTAATCATAACTCGTTTGAGCATTAAATTGTATTTATAAATCAATATATTGAACAGTTTAATAATTATTTCGATTTGTAACGCCTTAAATATATACAAGTAATATTAGGAAAACCAAATCAATTACAAAACTGGTCGAGATATGAGTTTACCATTCAATGATATCATAAGCTTACATAAATAATGCTAATCTCATTTTTTTACCTAAATACAAAAATATGACTAGTTAACAATTAACATATTAAAAGAAAAGCCAGGCAAAAAGTTTAAAATAAAAACAATAATCAATTTTACAGGTTTTGACTGAAACTGGTTCGTCCTGTAAAATTCAAAGAATGACAAGTGAAAATAGAAAAAAAAAAATCATAAATCGTTTTGTAAATTTTGAAAAAACATATAAAAATTGAATGGATTCACAGAATAGTACTTATCATAGAAATGCCATTCAAATCCTTCAAATAATCTTACATGCAAGTAGACAAATTTGTAGGATTCGTTTGTTATGAAGTGCCAAAGCTTGGACCTAGTTGTGATTTTCCCATAATCTTTCCCAAGTCACAATATTCCTTGTACTACTACTCCGCGCCAATTAGAGAACTTTTCCTCTTATATATGCATGTTTTGTGTTGACAAAAGTCAACTTGATTTTCTAACTAATATCGTCATCACCATATAGTCTTCCAAGTTCCAATACAAGCCAACCAAGTGTTTTCCGTATTAAATATCATCACAAACTTCAAAAGTCCTTTTTTTTTTTTTGTTGACCAGCACACCAACTTCAAAAGTCTGCACCCACGTTCAAGCAAAATATACATTGACAGGGTAGAAAAGAAAATTTGAAGGGTGGAAAATTTGGAGAGCAAGTGAATTTTTCCTTCCCCTCCAAGAAAGAGAATTTTAAAAAAGAAAAGAAAAGAAAAAAGGAAGAAGCGATGCTAGTCTTCGCTACTGGTGTAAAGGCTAGTTTTTAAACAATTATGCATGGTGTGGCTGGTGAAACCAAAGTAACAAGTGGCCATAATAGTGTAACAGAGGGTAGAAAATCAAGTTGTGGAGTGAGAAAATCAAGTTGAGCGATCAATACAATTTTCTGGTTCTTCTTCAAGTGTCTCGTCCTTTTTCCTGCTCATAATCCTAATCAGACACTTTGTTCACTCTTCAGTTTCTTCCTATCACTTGTTCACCGGTAGGAATGGAAGCATCAAAGGCCAAATTCGCGATCTGCGGTTTGCTAGCGATTCTAGTTCTGGTATGGGCATGGAAGGTGGTGAACTGGCTATGGCTGAGGCCGAAGAAGCTGGAGAGGCTTCTCAGACAACAAGGCCTTAAAGGAACTCAGTATAAGCTTCTCACGGGGGATTCAACCCAAATGTTTAACACGCGTATGCAAGCCAAATCCAAACCCATGGATCTTTCTGATGATATCATTCCTCGTGCTTCGCCTTTTCTCAATCATATTGTCAACAAATATGGTATGCTTTTTATGGATTACGCTTCTTCCACTCCTCTAAAGTCTCAGTTATATTTTGGTCATGAATTGTGTTCGAAATAGTAACGTGTTTTGGAATATCCTGGGTTTTGATACTCCTTAAGTAATTATATTCCCTCATCTGTTGAAAGATGTTCTCAGAATCAGCTATTAAATTTTGTATGAGATGGGTATGGAATGGTTTTGCAGGAGAAAAGTATTTGCTTCAATTTGTTTTATCATTGTCGTACTGGTTAAACCTTTCTTTTGAAGTCCTTTATAAGTGATGATGCGCATGATATGTAGGAAAGAACAGTTTTATGTGGATTGGAACGGTACCAACGATAGTTATTACAGATCCGGTGCTAATCAAAGATTTGATGACCAAGGTCTACGACTTCACCAAACCTAATTCGAATCCACTCATGAAGTTACTACTCACTGGTCTTGCACACTATGATGGTGAGAAGTGGGCTAAGCACAGAAAGATCATCAATCCTGCATTCAATGTAGAAAAGCTGAAGGTCGCTCTACTTTCCCTTTAGTGGCTGAAGCTTCTGTGATATCAACTTGGAAGATTTATTTTTTTCATTCTTTTAATAAGAAGCTATTAAACCATGTCTTTGCTGTATAAACAATGAAGCTTCATGCTCTTGCTCTGGATGTTCATTTACTTAGTAAGAGGCTGGAATTTAATGTTCCCATTGTATTACTTTGCCACAGATCATGTTGCCTACGTTTTATGAAAGCTTAAGTGATATGGTTTACAAGTGGGAGAAAATGTTGTCCTCAGATGGTTCGTGTGAAGTAGACGTATGGCCTTTCCTTCAAAATGTGACTTGCGATGTTATATCTCGGACAGCTTTTGGAAGTAGCTATGAAGAAGGAAAAAGGATATTCGAAATTCTAAAAGAGCAGGTTGAACTTGCTACAAAACTTTTCTTCAAAGTTCATATTCCTGGATACAGGTGAGGCAACACGGTAGATATGATATACCTTACCATTCTGATAGAAATAGGATCTGCCTAATGAAATTAATTTCATTCAACTGATGCGAGTTTACCTATATATCATATAGGAAACAACAAATTACCTCGCAGCAAATACAATTGAGATTAAAAAAAGAAACCTTTGTGCTTTAAAAAAATCCCCAATTCATCAAATAATATAAGTGGAAGATGTATCTCAGTTACAGATTATACTCATTAAGTTCTAGGGATTAGTTTGAAAGCTAGGCAGAAATACCTGTTCATAGAACAATCACTCAGACAATTTGTTCCTTCTTGTTACCATACTCACCAGCATTGGTTGTTTTCTTGTAGGTTTCTACCTACTGGTGAGATTAGGAGGATGAA